AGAGAGAGAGAGAGAGAGAGAGAGAGAGAGAGAGAGCTCCTTTGATGAGACAGAGATATTACTCCTTTGATGAGACAGAGATATTACTCTTTTGATGAGAGGGAAGGGGAGAAAATAAAACTTCATATTTGATTATAATGGTAGAGAGAGAGAGAGAATAAACTACTCATTCGATTGTAATGGTAGAGAGAGAAAGAATAAAACTACTCCTTTGATAGTAATGGTATTTCCATGGCGACAAACTCAGTTCATCGGCCCTCTTCCCCCTGGTAATTATTTATATTCCGCCATTAATCTCGATTGTCCTGATAAATAAATATCAACGTCCAATTCCACATTTCCCCCCTTTGTTCCACTTTTATTTATATATTTGTGATATTTGTCATTACTTTTTGGCAGTTTCAGGAAGAATAATAAATTGGGTTCAGTTGTTAGCTCCCGCTTCATTAAAAACTTGTCTCAGCTTTCTAGAGTGTCAGAGGTACGTTAAATTGCCTTTTATGTTTTTTTAGCATTCAGGTACGATAAATTGTTACGTTTTGTAATTGATTTGAATTCAGCACGGTTATTTTCCCTTATCTATGTTATAATTGGAAATATAATTTTAATTTGTGATATTTTGTGGCCATCTAGCTTTCTTGTTTTTACCTTATTGCTGTCACTTGTTTGATTTTCCCTGTCTTCTTCTGCATCAGCATTTTTATTTTCCTTTTTCTTGATAGGGTTTGATCATTTCATTTTGCTGGGTTTTCAAAACAGATTCCATTTATTATATAAGAAAAAGGTCTTGTGTGTGTGAGCGAGCGAGCGCGCGCTTTGGGTTGGTTTTGTTTTAAATTATAGTTCTTGAAAGCTCACATGGCAATTGCTCATGCTCTGCAATGACAATTTATTTGTTCTTGTTGTATGGGTACAGAGATGCAGTTCAATTCAATCGCATGGGCAATCCACTGCTCAGGATATTGCCAAGAAGCTTTTAGTTCATGTTGTGAAGGAGTATGTTCCAATTTTAGCCATTCCTATTTAACAGTCACATTTCACGATGTTATATTGATTTCACAAATAGAAACCGATACAGTTTCCAAATTGTATAGAATGAAGAACTATAGTGTTATCCCATAAGGCTAGAGATCCCCATCTATCATTTCGCAAGTGTTTGGTTTTTTAACATATAGTTGACAATATCTCTATATTTAATTATTCCTCTAAAAAAAGTATCTCTATATTTAATTTTTAGTGCTTCATGGTTAAATTAAATATGCATTATCATTCGAGACGATACGTATTCCATGTATTGTTTGCCCTCTTTTGTGTTTGCATTCTTTGATTTCATTAGCATATATAATTTGGAGATTGATGTGTTTTGATGGAAGTTGGAGTTGAGAGGGAAAAGGTGGTTCTGCAAAAATGTTGGGGTTGTTTCTTTCTTATCTCCTTTTGGGATTGTTCCTCTCTCTTTTCCTTTTGGTCCCTTTGGTTCATAAGTGGGTGGTGGCACAATGACTTCTTCAGAGGTTACCAGGCCACAATGATCATGCCAAAGGAAACCTTTGTGTAGAGTTTAAAAATGATTCTTCTTGTCAATGTTCAACTTTTATCGATTAAAAGGTTATATGTCTACAAGGCCCTCAAATGACAAGTAAAAGAAATGTAGATATTCAAGAATTTTCAATAAGAAAGAGTGAAGCTAGAACCATTATCTTCAGTGATTTTCCTAACACTATCTTTTCCTTTTGTGACGGACAATTCAATGGCATTTGGAAAGAAGATATTTTAGTAGAAAAAATTTTATATTGAGCCAACGCTCTAAACAATCAAATTAGAGCCCACCTCAAAACTTCCACTAAAAGAGGTTGTTTTGATGCCCAAATATCCTCAAATTGATCATCTGGACATTAGATGCATGGACATGAGAAAAAAAATGGATTTCAAGTTTTGCAAATAGTGCATCTTGTAACGCTTTTTTTGACCGTCAATTTTCAAGTTTTCATATATCTGTTCGATTTACACTATGTTTTAAGCTTTAAATTTTATAATTAAAGATGAAAATATATTTTAAGGCTATCACAAAAATTTTCAGTATTGAAATCACATTTCTTAACACTATTTGAAGGTGGGTGTTACTTTGATTGTTTAGAGCCTTGGACCTCTACAAACTGCACCAATTTTAGTTTGTTGGACTAGAACTGGTTTATGTTGGTTTAGGTTTATAGTAGTGAGAGCCAAGTGAGCTTCTAGATGTAATTCAAATTAGTGAGAGCCAAGTGAGCTTCTAGATGTAATTCAAATTAGCGATAATGAGGCATTTATTAAAGAGGACAAAAATCATTTTTATTAGAAAACAAGGATCCATAGAGGGAGGACTGGTGAATTAATTTTTCAAGTTCAAGGATATAGATGATTCATTGGTATCGATGATGCTTAATTGAAGGCCTGCTTGTTTACCTTTGGCAGCTCCTCTAAAGAACTTCCATTTCATGGACTAATGTGGTATTGGACATGAATCAAGGACTTCCATTTCTCGCTTTTCTTAGGAGTACATATTTTGTTGATTCTCATTGATATTTCCATATGAAGGCCCCGTGTGCCTAGTAAAGTTCACGAGATTGTGATCAAGAAATATTGAAGAAATAGTAATATTAAATGGGTTACGATTATCCCCTTCATCTGGCACCTGTTTGTAACAAAGTAGGCATTGATTGTTGCTCTATCAAAGGCCATACCCTCAGTGAGGCCATAAGTCCTCACATCTTTTCTCACTACTTTCAACCATATCCTTTTGGGCCTACCCCTTGCCTTTTTTGAGTCTTCCACTTGAACCTATTCTACCAAAGTTTACTTTCTCTCATCTTATCATTTATTGCAGCCACACCTTACTTCTCCCGAATGTATTCATTTCGAATCTATCCCTTCTTGTCTTGCCACTCATCCATCTCAATATCTTCATCTCTGCTACATTTATCCTATGAATATGTTGTTTCTTGAGTACCTAACATTCCGCCCCATAAAGCAAAACCGGTCTCACAAATGTCCATTGTTGAATCTAGGCCTGCTAAGGTTAATACTTGTGTCTGCCTAGGATCCAAGGCAAATTCGCTAGGCACCCTTGGATCACTTGCCCCTAAAATATTATTGAAAGTTTTCTATTTTTTATCTATTTTCATTTTTCTTTTGATAGGGGAACTTGGGTGAGTTGGTTGATGCAGTACTCTTTGAGCTCATTTCATAAGTTTTCTAAAGTTCATTTTTTCTCTTTCATCCTTTAAGTTCTTTTGGTAAGTTGTCAGTATTTTTTTCATGAAAGTAACTACCAGTTAGAGAATATTTCTAATTCTTCCCTATTGCTTTGAGGAATTAAACATCAAATAATGGAGTGGAAATGGAAGTTCAATCAGCTGAGTGAAGGGGCCATGTCCATCAATATGTCCTTATTGTTTATTATTCCATCAATATATTTAAATTCTGATAATGGTGTGGTGCATTATTGTTGTGGCATAGAGTGGTCTACTTTTTTATGTTTTATGACAGTTAAACTTTTGATATGTGGTGGTTTATGTCCTCAAACCTTTTCTATTGTGGGTAGAACTGTCTACCTCAAGTGGTGGAGTTACCTTTACAGTGTTGCTCTCTATTAATGCAATTTCGCTCAATATTTTCACCATTTGAATGGTTATTTTCAGTTTCCACATCATTAAAAGTTCAAACGCACGTCTGTTATACGATTTCTCCTAGGTCAAGTCCTTAACATAACTTACCCCATCTCAAATTGTGATAGCATGATATTTAGGTACTGCAGATCTAACAAGTCCTATATTCTACTAGTATGATCATACCACTATATTTTTTCTATATCCTTTTTTTCACTGGAATATCTGGTAACCATTTCATTCTAGTTTTATGAAGCATCTTACTTGAACTTATGCTTGCAGGGGTGAGACTTTGACTTCGATTTCCAGAAAGTATAGGGTTTCAATAGAGCTAATTGCAGCAGCTAATACTGACATAACTAATGTTGATTTTGTACTGGAAGGCCGAAGCCTGAATGTTCCTATCGTCTCCAAAGAAATTCAGGGGGTGAGATTCAAATCTGTACTTTGCCATGTATCTCATCAGCTAGCCGTCTTCTCTATTTCAAAAAATAAATGGTTTTTCCATGTCATTTCATTTGTTGTTTCTTGTCATTCATTTATATTCTGTTTCTATGTTTGCCTTTCGTAGGAAGTTCTCTTACACTGTCTGCTTTATCTTTGGTGACATTTCCTGCCTGAATCGGCAATTATATTCCTTATTGGTAGTTGAATCGAAAAGTTTCTTAGTGACCAGGTTCAATTTTCCATTTGTTTCTTCAAACACCACAATATGTACAGGTAATTTGGGGAATCTTTTGTGAAGTAAACAGATTGTATGAGCATATAACTGTTTCCTTGATTGTCAAAAAAACTAATTTAAGCAACTAACTTGGAACTTGGGAAAGGCTTAGTTAAATGGAAAATGGTATCTATGGAAGGGGTAAATTGTACTTTACACATGGTATGCCATCCACAATTTACTCACAAAAGCTGATCATGGAGTTGAACCATGGTCCCAGTGACCAAAGGTCCAACAGAGTTATGGTTTGTCTCCATCGTTTGTCTTGAGAGCAGATGTTGGATGTTGCACTTGTATGATATGCCTGGTATGGTATGCTTTCCACCATAAAAAATACCTGAAATCCTAGAAGATGCATATAGTTTTGAAGAAATATCTGTAGAATGCTTTTTGCACATATTCTTTCAAAATACAAATACGGTATTACCATAATGTCCTTGGGTTTTGGTTTATGTATTAGTGGCCACACACCAAATATGGTATGATCATAAATAATGTCCTTGGGTTTTGGTTTATGTATTAGTGGCCACACACCAAATATGGTATGATCATACATAATGTCCTTGGGTTTTGGTTATGTATTAGTGGCCACACACCAAATATGGTATGATCATGGGATAATGATCGACACTCAAGTCACACCCACCCATGATATGTATCTTGAACAATCATTCGCCCTCAAGTTTTTTCATGAATATCCCTTACATGCCCAAAAGACATCACGCCTTATTTTGCCATGACTCTCATCAAGATATATGTAAACTGATCTGATACTTGATCCATTTTCAAATTAGCCGGACTAAGACAAAAGTATATGAAATGCAAGTTTAATAATAATAGGAATAAAGATGAGGAAGTAGTTAAGATTGAGGGCCAAGAAATGCTAAAAGGAGCGCACTTCCAATATCTTGGGTTGATAATTCAGGAAAATAGAGAGATTGAGGAAGATGTCGCACATAAAATTAGAGCTGGGTGGGCGAAGTGGAGATGTACAACAGGAGTTTTATGTGATCGCCACATACCAATGAAGCTAAAAGGGAAGTTTTATAGGACGGCTGTGAGACTAGCTTTGCTTTATGGGGCGGAATGTTGGGCGGTCAATAAACAAATACCTATGGGATGAGTATAGCTGAGATGATGATGTTGAGATGGATGACTAGCAAGACAAGTAGGGATAGAATTCAAAATGAAGATGATGATGTTGAGATGGATGAGTAGCAAGACACGAAGGGATAGAATTCAAAATGAATACATTCGAGAGAACTTAGGTGTGGCTCCAATAGGTGATAAGATGAGAGAAAGTAGACTTAGGTGGGCTTGCCATGTTTAGTGCAAACCCAATACAACACCTGTTAGGAGGTGCGAGTTGGTTCAAATGGAAGGCTACAAAAGGGCAAGGGAAGGCCCAAAAAGACATGGTTGGACTTAGTGAGAAAAGATATGGCGACTTATGGCCTCATTGATGGTATGGCCCTTAGAGCAGAATGGTTGACCAGGGTTCGTGTAGCTGACCCCCAAATAATTAGGAAAAGGCTCTTATGATGATGATGATCCGATACTCTATCCTTTTTTTTTGGAAGTGTTAACAGTGAAATGGAGCCTAGGATGTTCTGATCTGATACTTAATCTTGATATAATGCGTCCATAAAACCTTAATCATTACCTTTTCTTGACAAATCAACTTTGATCTGATACTTAATCTTGATATAATGCGTCCATAAAACCTTAATCATTACCTTTTCTTGACAAATCAACTTTGATTTTGATTCTACATTCATGGCAAAGTTGACTCGATAAAATCATATGTATGATTGTTTATTGCCATACACGCTTGAGGCACATCTATTGACATGTGATTGAGGCTGTTGCTCTATACTTGAGCCTTGGCACTTTGATATTGAGACTTCGGATTGTTTCTTGCCCTTCCATGTGAGTAAACTCCAATCATGATGCAATGCCCTGCGGTCAGCCTTCTGTTTATTGGGAAGCCAGCCTAATCTGCGTCTATGCTTCGACAAAGAAATGATTATGATGTGGAATTAGGGACTCTTTCCTTGATGTTAACTTAATGTCTGAGAAACTACTACTATTTGAGGCTCATATACTAAAACACTATGGTTTGATAATCCCTGTCTTACTTTTCAGACTTCAAATTTCAAATCCCCCTCTGAAATGGAACACCACTGTGTTAATCTTGTTGATGCCTAATCCGTCCTGATATTTAGGTTCACACTTTTCGTTCCGTTGGATGAGTTAAACTGAACCCCATTGGACCTTCCCTCTATTGGCTAATCTTTTGTCGTTTCTATTTTATCAGCCACCAACCACCACATCTGAAATGGAAATGTATAGTAGAGCGAGACATTAGATTAGTTCATAAGCATAACTGGACCCTCTTAATATCACCTTCTCTTTCCATCCTTCCCAGAAGTGGTTCCAAAGTTGCTTCTAGGCATTCAGGACTTCTCAAGCTCCTTTCTTTGTTCCCACCACCTTTGCTCTGCATGCTGCACATCAGTCTTGTATTGTTGCAATTCACTTTCTAATGAATCCAATCCAAAAATGTCCCAAATTATCAAAGCACAAACTCTAGATCCAATGCATGAGCAAGTAAAAGAGATATCTCTATGGCACAGGTCATCTGTAAACTAAAGGTGGAAGGCCTTCTCTCCTCTCACCCTGGGACAATAGCCATGCCAACAACCCTATTGAACAAATTAGGATTTCTGTAATAATGCCAAAGAGGGTTTGAGTGGTTGTATGTGACTTAAAGGTCCTAGATCTAGGGCTTCTACGAGAATAGTTGAAGGTTTTTAGACCAGGGCTGGGGACAGGATGGATGAAAAGATTGGGGTTTTTCTGAGTAAAAAGTTTTAGAGTCAGAGCTTCAGGTGCTACAAATTGGACGCCAATTATTTTTGTCTGAGCTCTTGCTAGAGATGGGTATTATAAAATTCTATGAGTGGACTTAGGGTTTTCAATGCACAACCATGATTAACCCTCCAAGTTACATGGTAAACTACCTTAGGAACCTCTAGAAGCTTCTTAAAACATGTCCTGTTTGCATATAGCTCAAGAAATTGCATTCGGATACAAGGTGCAAGGGGTCCAGTGCACCTCATACCTGATCTGGTACATAGTGCCCCAGATTGCAGGGATCAATTTGTCATTTGAGCAATTGTGCAGTCAATTAGCTGTATCACCCAAACGGTACCTCTGATGCGGGACTTGAATGCTGGAATATTTATCAAATCCCCTATAGAATTGTTTTTTAATGGAATAATGGTGTTGGGGATTTAAAGTGTGACTTTAGGGTTTATAAAGTGACTGAGGATTGCCTATTTGCTTTGTTTGTAGGGCAATTTAGTAAATTGGTCCTACCGGGCTAGGATATCTATGAGAGGTTGTTTTCCTAGGTTTGGGTGCTAAGTATGAACTAATATCGTGTTCTAGTATTTCTGCCACTAACCATCCAAAAATTTGGGTGTGTACAGAGTTGGTTCTTTCAGGCAGTTTTGCATGCCCATGCAGTGTTGAGTAAGGTCGCCTCTATGTTATTGTTCCATATTGGTTGTTGATTTTCATTTCCTAGTTCTTCTCTTGTTTAAAGGGACTCCAGGCTTAGTTTAGGTGACACTATATGTGGTCATTTTAAAGTTGCAAGAGTTATGGAAGACGCTGTTGTAAGCAACACATTTCCTTCCACCACTTGGAAAATGAGGAATCGAGCTCTTTCCTTCTTTCGATTATGCAGCATCTGATAATGCTTTTATTTGATTCATGTTCATTCCCTTTTCTTTTTAGGTTACTACCTGCCAATTCATGTTTACAGTGTACGAGATGGACGTGTATATCAAGAGATTTTATACATTGTGCATTTACAAATATGTAATAAATGTTATGTTGAAAGATGGAGAAGGTCTCATCCCAGTGGGGTGCTTAGGCCAGTTTCTAGAGAATTAGAATCGACAAGGAGGCACAACAGTTTACAAGCCTTGATCATGATGTGAGACATCAATTATTTTCAAGCTATGAACCTACTATAAGCTGTATAAGAATTTTATGCCAGATATTTTTAAAACCAATAAATAGCTGTGCCTATGCATATGACCATGTGGCTCTTTTCGTGAGTTCAGTATAACTTGGTTTCTAAGATGAAATATTTGTAATTCACTTTCAGGTTTCACCAAGAGAAAATCATGCCATTCAAGGTGATGCGAAGGAAATATTTCAATATTCTCATGTGAATACCTTAGTGGCTCAAGCAAACTACAATCTTTCGAGGATGTTGTCCCCTCATTATTTACAACTTGTAAGTACTATATTATACTGTAAATGTTGTAGTATAAGATAAGCTATGAAAATAGGGTGGGTTTCAGAAATGTTGCCAAAGAAGCAGTTGTCTTGCAAAAATTAAGAACATTGGTACTCTGCCCCCCACTGTTGTCTAAAATAATTTGCAAAGCTATCACTTTAACCCAGCAGAGTCTAACCATCTTATTTGCATCTACAACTTGTTAGGGTTGAGCAAAGCTGCCTCCATTGTAATTACTTCTCGATGCAATTCTGGTTGGGGATGGTTGCATGCCCTACTGCCCCCCCCCCCCTCGTGTGTGTGTGTGTGTCCACTACAGGCAGTACACCATATGTACACTACATGTAGGTCTCTACCACTTACCTCTGGGGATAGCATTTGGAGATTGTGTGTAGAATACAAACTATATATGACTGTGTGGTATACAATTCCTAACCAACATCCGTACAGTTTACAAGAAAATTCTAGTTGATCTATCAGGGTCACTAAATGTGATTCTGAAATATGTGAAACTCAGGGAGAGGAAGTCCAGCTAAAAGTGTATACCTGAATATTCTTATACCATGTACTAAATGACTAAACTATTTTTGGGGAATCAATGAATAAATGTAAACCACTTGCTATCTAAAATCGTAGGAAAAAACTAAAGGTTTTGGAATGGAATAAACTGAAATTGAACCTAGATCTAATTGAAATAAACATAAAGTAGAGTGGAAAGAACTAAACTCCTTGCCGGGCCCATTGGGGCACCCAAAGGGGAGGGAAACTGGATCAAACTATGGATGAACAATGATCCCCAAGATGATTATATGTCTTGAACAGATCAGGGTGAATATGATTGGAACTGGGAATAAGCTAAGTGCATGAGAGGGTATGGGAGCAATGTATATGGGCTATAATGCAAAATTGGATAAGGTATTAACGTTTATGTTGTAATTATTAGGATAATGGAAAAGCAACACTATCAGAGACCATGAACCTTCTCTAAGAGGGGTTATTTATAGGCTGTGGACTGGGAATTCGGGATTCAATTGAACAACCTAGATTTCCTGATCAAAATTTACTGAATCATGCACGACCACCTTATAACACCTTTTTAAGCTTCCAGAAAGCTTCTGAGGGCGACATGACTCCTAGTACTAGGTGTGATGGATCTAGTGCATAGTGTATTGGATCTGTTGGATCAATTTGTCAGTTAGCAATTAGTTTAGAAAAAGGCATATTAGTCCGAAATAGTGCATCACATTGACATAAGACTTGAACGCTGGAAAGCTTGTTTGATTTCTTACACAATGGTCTAGTCTTTAGGCTATTTGGGTGTGGGTTTGGCAAGGCTAAGGTTTTGGCCTGATTTTGTATTTTGATAATTTGGTCCTAGGGTGAGTACAGTCGTTATTGAGGGTAATCTGGCATAGGATTTTGTGATCTTTACTATAAACCAATCAAATTTCGGTTGTCAACACACACGCACAGACAAAGGTCATGTTTGTAAAAGAGCTGTTGTATCATAATTCACAACTCATAATTTTCCAAATGTTGTACTACAATTGCCTTGACCTATGGGTAGCTTGCTTTCGGGGCTGCTATTATCGCAGTTTTCCTAATTATCGAAGTTTTCCTTTATGTTGTTAAATTTGGATAACTATGCCATACAATGGCAGGGTCATATAGGGCCTTGTAATAGCCATCTTTATGGGTGATGGATCTTGGCTCTATTTTGAAGCTAACATGGCTCTATTTTGAAACTGTCATTGTAAACCCTCCACCTGGTTTTAAGAAGTGGCCATCCTGCTTGCTACAGTGGGTTTACACTAGTATATAACGGTGTGGTGCCATATTTGAAACCTTAGGCATGTGTATACTTACCCTATGTTATACTGTTTGAAAAGTTCTCTAGGGATTTGAAATTTTTAATGGCCTTAGTACTTATTCCAGAGTTATGGAAGACATTATAGTGACAGATTATGGTGCTCTATTTTATCTTCAGGCTAAAGGCACAGGTTATTTCCTTCTTGTGGCTACTCTTGTAGCATTTTGCTTCAGATACATTTTTAGTGAGTTCCATCACAGATTTGCCAATAAATTGAAACATCAGGCACAGAATGACTTGAAGGTGCCTCATGATGGATCAGGAAGCATGCGTTGGAAATTTGCTCTCAGTGAGATTAGAGAGATGGGTATTGTGGATGCTGAATCTAGGGAGAACCCCGATGTAAGTATCAGATATCGACTTACTTCAGTCAACTAATTCCCTTGCTAGAATGCCTTAATTCTGTTTTGCTAACTGACATTTAGGACTAGGAATGAAGTGGTCTTTGGTGATTCAATATTATCATAGACATGCTCGGTCAGTATTTTGATGCTCTTTTGTGCTTGTTTCTTTCTTATAGTTTAAAGAAATTCTGCAAAACTGGTTTTTCGCATGATTCCATTTACCAGTTTCACAGTGATTCGAGAGGCAGGTGTGGAATTGGTCGTGTCATAAACCAGTTTCACGGAAAGCTAGTATTTTCTGAAAATCAGTGGTAGAAAAGCAATTCATTTCCTTTTTTATTCAAATCCTAGGTGTTCAGTCAAGGGCCGCATCAGAGACCCAAAGTTTTCCAATTCATAAAACTTAGCATGGGTTCTCCGCTTAAATCTTAAATCTTCTTGGCATGGTTTGCTATAGATCGATAAATCTCTCTCTCTCTCTCTCTCTCTCTCATATAATCATATTCCTTTTCTACATTTTCATAGGGAGATAGTCAAGACCAAGAACTGGACTCTCTAGAAGAGGTGGCCGAAGCCTACACCAAACTCGAACCCGCCTATCAAAAATTCCTTTCAGAATGCGGAATGAGCAAATGGGGGTACTGGCGAGGCGGCTCTCCTCATGGTTAAATTCGTTTAGCACAATGCTAATGCCAAAATTTATACGTGTAGATATCCCCCTTGCCTTGGGCGGCAGTGTATATTAGCAATTTGTGTCACTTGCTATACTACCATTTACCCTTGTTGGCTTCATTTGTCTTTGTAAATAACTATTGGTAAAACAATGAGATGACAAATTTGTTTCATCAAGCAGTACTCATTTGACTTAGTGGATTAATGTTGGTAAAAATTTAAATGACATATTTATCTCTTCAAATCTTTATACCTTGATATGTATATGACCCCCCTCATAAGGAATTGAAAGGTGGGGAAAGCGGAAAAAAAATAACCAGAAGTAAAAGCTAAGACGAAAAATATGTGCTGCAAGAGTGCCATGAAAGAGTCAGATGGAAATCAAAAATTTCGAACTGGGGAAATCAAGTTGCGCATGAGAAGGTTCTAAACCAATACATTATTGAATGGAAACCTCCCCAAAGCACATCTCATTCATAGCACTCACGTCCTATCTCTACCTGCTTCTTGTCATATGATCACCAACTGCCATCACGGAGGCAAAATTACATTCTTTTTCGCTTATGGCAATTCCGAAAACACCATCCCTGACAATATTTTGCCAATAAGCAAGGTTTCATTCCCACTCGTCAATAGTGATGCGCCAACATCACCATGAAAGAAAGAAATATAGTTTTCAAAACGGGACTGAACCAGCGGTCCAATTGGTTGGACAGTCGATGCCTTACAAATATTAAAAAACCAGTTTGAGAAAAAAAGGTCTATTCAACTTATCTGACCAACGAGCTTCCACTGTTTCAATTGGCCAAACAAAGTCGAGTACCTATTTTTTAAGATATTACATATTTTAAACTATAATTTATATAATTTTTGTTGTATTTTTTAAATCTAATTAATCTGAAGGTGCAGTTGGCATACTGATGCATCCGTAAGGGTAGAGGTAAAGTACACCTACAAATTTATGACATAATTTTGATGTAAAGCATTCTTAGGATTATCTCAAAATCTATTTTTATACCCAATTATAAAATTTTAAATTTAAAAAAATCAAGTAGATCTATAAAAATATGAAAATCTTGAAAATGGACGGTGTAGATAATATGTTATAAAATGCATTATTTATGAGACTTGAAATTTTTTTATTTTTCATAGTCATACATCTCAATGTTGCGATGATCAATCAAAGGGTTTTTAAACATTAAAACTATCTTTTCCGATGGATTTTTGAGAGGCATCCGTAGTTCTACATTATAAAGTACCATCCTTATATAAACTTTTTCCTTACTCCAGTTCTACCATCCTTATATAAACTTTTTCCTTACTCCGGTTCTACCAATGGTTGAAGTAGTTTGTAGTTTTGAATGAACGAGTTCCCTCGTTGGTTCAATAACTAGTCCGATCTTGATAACATTGGAGAGCAAGAGAGAGTGAACTTTCTCAACAAAGACTCATTTTGATCAAAGTTAAAAACAAGAGATACAATGGATGATGGTTCATAAACTTCTCTACATTTCTCATGAAAAGACAGCCCGAGAGAGTGGACAATCAGTTCAGAACCTAGGCCTCTTCGCATCAGTAGCTGCTACAGTTGAGGCAGCCTGGTATACCTGCTGCTGCGGTTGCTGTTGGTGGTAACCATCAGCTGCCGCTGCAACTGGCTGCTGCTGCTGCTGCTGTTGCTGTTGGTAAGCACCTAGAATTGCCGGCTGCGACTGCGGCTGCGGCTGAGCATAACCTGATGGGTACCCACCATACTGAGTTTGCTGCATCAGACACAATAGAATATTAATATATATATAAATTATTCATTAAATTTACTCGAAGGGGCAATATACTCATTTCGAATGGCAAGAGAGCTCATTTTGAAAGGGGAGAGAGAGAGAGTTTTAGTTGTAGGTCCTAATAGGCACATCGAGTGCAGTCAGTGACTACAACAAGAGAGAAGCAAGCAGACCCATAAAAGACAAGGAACCTAAGAAAGAGAAGCAGGCAACACCTCTAAGCCTAATAATGAAAATATTGTCCATAAAATCAGGTAATAAAAGAAAGAAATACAAGTTTCCAAATAATAACGGGCCTCAACGGATACAATTTACCCTGGTGTTCATTAGAGGTTTATAGGCAACAGGATATTCCTTACAGGGAAATTTCATGCAAGGTTATAAATTTATTGTCATGATTAAAACTGAGTGATTGACATTATTGATGCTAAGATGCATTGGCCCTTGCAGCAAATATCAGAGAGGCCTTGGCCCTAACAGCAAATATCACCAATCATGGGGGACATTTAAATGAAAGTACTCTACGAGTCAGGGGACGCATTGCACATATCACAAATAATGGGTGAAATTTAAATGAAAAGTAGCCTATGAGTCAGGGGGGACACATTTCTACATTTGTGTCCCCCAAGGTATCAAGCATCCATCTTTAAGATGGATAAAAAGTTGTGGTCACTCTTAAAAGAACAAAATCCAACAATCCAAAAAATTATCTCCAAAAAATTATTATTATTAGCTTTTAAGTTATTGATCTTTTTAACATATTAATGATCTTCATGTTAGAGACTCGTCATCATTCGAGCCTTTTCCCAACTATTTGGGGCGGCTACACGAATCCTAGTCCACCATTCGGCTCAATCAAGGGCCAAATTCCATCTGAAAAATAGATCAAAAGGAGGGGCCGCATATCTACATGTGAGTCCTAAGACTCGTAGAAACCTTGTCCATTTTAAAAAGTAACACCCATCAAGCTGGTCAAAACAGTTAAACTGCAAGCAATGTCGCCTAGCTGCCATAACGAGTGACATATCATTGGTTTCATGTAAATTATCAAAAGGAACTAGAAAAAAAAAAGACAACAATGGTGTCCTGTAACTAAGGGTAGGCTTCTAACCTGAGCCATGCCATGTTGATCATTCTCCATTTGATCGAATGCTCGTTTCTGCCCATAATCAGCCGCAGTTTGCTATTATGAGAAAAAAAGAAATAGAAGCATAAATAGCCGAGTTAATAAGAACACCTCAGTTTTACACAGACCAACACTTGATAATCAGAGGCAAAAAATAACATAAGAAAAGCATCAAGAAAAAAAAAACTGAACGACCGACGGAAAGCCCTTACCTCCTGGTAAGCAGCACCAGCACTCTGAAGTCCTTGTGCCTGCCCTTGTTGTTGTTGCTGCTGCTGAGTAGTTCCACAGTGATAAAAAAATCAATTATCACAACAACTACACAATAGTATTGATAATAATAAAAAGGAACCGGTCACTTTATCAAGAAATTAATAGGGGACTAGTTTGGCCAACAACAATCTTTTCAGTAATGCACATGTTTTCCATTCCGCCAGCCAAAACATGGGTATCATTAGTAGCCACAAGAGCTCTTGATTAGTCATCCACTGTTTTCCACTAATTTAGGCAGGTCATTAAGAATATGGGTAGCCAAATTAGTACTGAATAATAATACTAAACAAATAAGAAACCAAAAGGTATTGGCAAATTGTTAAGAGAGAAATGAACAAACATTGGTCGTAAAGAACACTCCCCCCAAGTTGCGAGATACATTTTCAACCCCACCCCAACAAATCCCTCGCACCCCAGCCTTGTCTTCAATGGACCTCTTAATTGCCAACGCTGGCTTCCCAGTCAAGCTTGAAACCATCACTGAAAACCCAACAGATTCTGATAACAAATACTTTTCAGTGGATTTCAAAGAAGAAGAGCAAATACATAAGGTGGAGGGCAACATTGATGAAATGCTTAGAATCATGGCTTTCACCCAGGATGGTCCCATTGACGACATCGCCGAAACCTTTAGAACTGCCACCAAACCTCCCAAATCCGGTTCCAAAGGCCACAGAGAAGAACCTCAACTCTTAAGGTCAACTACGACGACTCACTTGACCAAGATCCCCAGTCAACAGATCTAAGCACCATAGAAGGTATAGCACTGACACCAAAGACGGTCCTCCAGGTACCAGCAAACCCCCCTAACCACTCCAAAATGATCCTTGCATGGGACATCTGGGGTTCACCAAAATCTTGTCCTTCATTGGTCAATATTCCATCTACATCAAGTTTGCAAGAACTTTGACAACTTCCAGTGGAAATTTACATCAATGGTTCACCATATCTTTTAAAGTGGTTTAACGAGGAACTAGAAGACACCCTAATCTGATGTTCACTTCCATGGCGCATCTAAGTGACTTCAATGCCACCAGGTGCTCCTACGAGAAGCATAGGAGAAGGAGAATCAATAGCCAGCCCAGCCAAGTTCTGTTGACTTTTCAAAAACAACCAAAATAATATATCTGGAACAAAGCATCCTTGGTCCATCCATTTGGCAAACCTTATCCTCACAAGAATCGATAGATTCCTAATCTCCCCCATCTGGGAGAAGTTCCAAAGTACCCACTCACGTGCATGTACACCCCCAAAAGCTCCTTCCCACACCCCAATCTTCCTCGATACTTAACCCCCATCAGCCGGACCCAGACTGTTTAAGTTCGACGTCATGTGGCTTGAAGAATAACTCTTTCGATTAAGTTCCCAATGGGGGACTTCAACACTCAAGGTTAGGCTGTCTGCAAGAATAGGCATGAAACTCAAAGGTCTGAAGCTTTGGAACCATGAGAATCATCTGTCCCCAAAAAAGCAAGGCGCTTCTAGCCGAAATCTCCAACCTTGACCTCAAGGAAGAAAACCAAGCCCTTAATGAGGATGAGCAAACAGGAAGAGGGGTAATGAAATCAGAGCTACAGGCTATCCTAAAACAAGGGCAAGTCTTCTGGTTTCAAGGGACAAGAATCAATTGGCTAAAGAAGGGGACTGCAACACAACATGTCAGGTCTGACATCCTGGCTAAAGGAGCATCCAGGACAGATATGAACATTTTCAGACCAACCAATGTGGAAGAGATTTTGGATATCTAATCTTTTGTACAAATTCCTCAGCAACTTCCTGCCGTTTTTATCCACACTACATCTGTCATGCTTACAAAGAAAGTTTTATATTTTAACCAAATTGATAACCAAAAAAACACTACATCAAAAAATTTACATAGATAAAAATAAGTACATACAGTTTGTTGCAAGTACAAGGCTTGGGCTGCATAATATGCGGCATACTGGGCATCGGTGCTCTGAGTCTGTTGGGCCCCACTGGTAGGTGTTGCAAGCAGACCAGCTTGCTGTCAAGATGTTACAAATTTAACAAACAACAGGAAAACCGAATTAAATCAGTTTTTTCTACATTTCTCAACCCAACATCAGAACTCAATGAACTGGCAAAGCTACAGAGAGTGAGAGAGATATAAAGAGATTCTGATAGCAAGACTCCATACTCTATGAGGGAGACAGCAAACATATCCGTGTTTGTGTGTGTATGTGTGTGTGTGTGTGTGTGTGTGTGTGTGTGTGTGTGTGAGAGAGAGAGAGAGAGAGAGAGAGAGAGAGACTGCACCTGCTGCAGCCCATGGTATGAAGCATAGGCTTGTTGCTGAGCACCATCTTGAAACTGGGCAGGGTAACTAACTGCCTGGTTTGTGGTGGTAGCTACCGTAGTCTGAGGAAAATGATCATGGCTCGGCTGCTGTGCATATTGATCTGGATGCATAGGGTGTCTCAGTTTTTGAGTGCGAGTTTCCAATATAATTGAGCAATGCTCAGACAGCTGAGTTAGTAACTAACCATATTGGTTCACGGGTGCCTGTCCATATGCCTGTTGGTATTGCTGCTGACTAGTGCCATATGACTGCACATCCAACCAAATGCAACATCCATGCTCTCAGAAAACGAAACAGTAATCACAATCAAATAAGACTATTAAACTGATCTATTGCTACATGCACATGAAAAATTACAATCTATTACTCTTTTTTCAATTTTTGTAGAAATATTCTCGAGTGAAAATAGGTATACTGTTAGCAGAAAGCACTCCATATCAGATAGTTTTTTATAGTAATCCAAAAGGATCATCTACAATCTGTTCTTGATTATGGAAGGTGGAGATTAATCGTAGCGAGGCTCACCAGGACTTCCATCCAGGTACAGTTAGTCTCCTTTGTCTGCGCACTGGAAATGGACAGTGAATGAACTTAGGAGTGGCACATACCATACTCCATTTAAATTCTGATATAGTTTCCCTGCTTTTAAATAAACAGTCTATGATCTCAAAAACCAGAGAGGCCACAGATAATGTAGGGAAAGGAAAGAGCCATTTGTGGTTGGGGAGGGGGCATGTGGTAGGAAGGGTAGAGACTTGAAAATTGGAATCATTCTATGCAAAGACAGAATACAAGTTTTGCAGGAGGAGTGCAAAGCATAATTATAAAGGTTCCTTTTAATGAACCATCTTTTCAGCAACTAATTGCTCTTTTTTGTTGTATTCAGCAGGCTTTTTAGCCCATTTTTGTACATATAGCAACTTTTACAAGTTGCAACTACATATATAATACAGTAAACATTTTCAAAAATAAAATAAAATTGGAGGCCGACTGAGGGCGATTTTATAACTGCTTCATTTCCCACATAAGAAGTTATCCGAGATGTTGATCCCATCTTTACAAGTATACTAACCAGCATACCACATTATTACGCATCAATAGATGTTTATTATAGAAGAATAACTACCACTGAAACTCACTGAATTGCAGCAAGAAAAAAACCGTTAGAAGAGATCTATGAGATAAGAAACTGCAAAAAAAAAAAAGGAAAAAAAAAAGCATGATATAAAAAATAAGCATTTTCTGGAATGAGAAAAAAACTTGCATTAACCTGAGCTTGCACAGAATTTTGTTGGTTGTAATAACTTGTGCCTTGAGGATACTGCCAAATATTCATAGACATGCACCATCCATCATTAAGAATACAGGCATACTTATTCCTTTTCTAATTGGTATGTTTACTTACTAAACACAAGTATCAATTCAATAATTATGAGCGAGTATCACTGAAAAAATCTGTCTAAATGAATCCTTGAATTCCTCCACATTTCAAAAACAAGCATGCACAAAAACTTGATATGCAATAGGCCCAAGGATCCAGCTCTCATCAGAACACTACGAAAATTTGAATCAGCTTATACGTGCATGCACACACGCAGATTAAGGCACATACATGCTGGGTTTGTTGTGGTGGCTGAGTATGGATTTCTGTTTGCTGTGTATAATTCTGAGAATGTTGCTGTTGAACCTGCAGTTATTCATAAGAGTTAGGTACTTCAGGTTGAAAGCAAATCACGAGGGTATGTGCAATTTCTTTTTTTTCTTTTTATTTGTTGTTAAGTAATTATACATGTAATTCTTCTTTCTGTTTTTAAGATTTAGAGGAAGAAGCTTCAAAAAAAGGAAAAAAGGAAAAGAGAAGGGAATGTGTTAGAGAGCAACACCAAATCATAAGTATGCAAAAAAATGTCCCCTATAATGTTAACCAGCAATTGGTGAAATGCCTAAAAGTTTAACAGGGCATTTAAACCCCCCACCTGATATTGGGCTTGTTGAGCAGCTAGCAGATATTGTTGAGATTGAGCATAGGACAGCTCCTGGGTTGAATGGTGAGGCTGTGGCAGTGCATGCTGCTGATAAGATTGTTGAGTTTGGTGCTGATGTGGTTGATAAGGATATTGTGAATGGCCTTGCTTGGCCTGCTGAGGTACTTGCTTGTAGAGATCCTGATAGCATATAAAGGAAATTAATGCACTCCAATAACTAAACCTAGCTTCCGCGATTAGCTACAAGACAAATATAACAAAAGATCATTTTGCATATGTTACAGTCATTTCAATTTTCCAAACACCTAGCAGGTTTATAAAAGGTTTTGTCATACTTTATTAAACACATTTGAAAATAAAAGTCAGAACAAAACTAGTGGAATATGGTTATATGCTTGGTTTTTCCATAGATGGCCATATCTAGGAGATATAATGTTGCAAAAAAGATCAAGTTAGGTAAGATCGATACTTCCTTATTTTTTAAAAGTGACAAAGGTCAGAACTTCCAATACCATGCTGGCAATAAAAAGGCCTCCTAACACGCCATTAGTATGAGTAAGTGCCAACTCTAAATCTACTAAAAAAAATGTTGGATAGTCTTTTTTAGCAAATAATGTTGGATATTCGAAAAACATAAATAAATAAAAACCAGGGCACATATGATACATGCTGTGTTTCTCCTTAATGGATACATTTAGACGATCAAAGATGTTCCCAACTTCTAGGACACAGTTAGGGTTCAGTAGGTGTCAAGTGCTTCAGCAAGAGCGGTAGATGTACAGGGGAAAAAACCAGGAATATGAAACCCCTTGTTCCCTATTATCGATTTTGCCAAACTATGTACGTACCTAGTATTAGTAAGTAGTAAGAGTATAATTATGGTAATAGTGGTGACGATAGTGTCACTAATACTTGTGATAGTGGTTCACTAATACTTGTCATAGTGGTGGCCGTAGTCATAGTATTGATAGTGCTGTAGTCATAATTGTACGGGTAGTAGTAGTTGATACAATAGTACTGGTGGTAGTGATATTGTTAGAGTAGTCATGTTGGCCATAATAGTGGTGGTAGTGGTAGTGGTTGTAGTATCAATAGTGGCAGTAGCAGTAAAGGTAATCACAGTAGTCATATTGGTATTGATAGAAAAGGTGGTGGTGGTGGAGGTATTGGTAGCAGTAGTAGTGATGATGAACAATAATTTAATAGGGAAATAGGAAGCAAACCAAGACAGTGTGTCCTAACAATTCCCATTGTCCATCAGTGAAGGAAAAAAAAATTTCTTTACAATTGGTAGCATGTTTTCTTACTGAGATAAAAATGAACAAGAGTCGTCCATAAACAGAAAAATCCAATGTTCTTCAAAATGAGAAGAGTACTATGGTGTTAAAGTCTAAGAACAATACCTGAGCTCTAAATTTGCCACTGTCTTGATACACTTTGCCTTGTAGAAGTGCCATCTGCACTCCAGAAAAGGATTTACTTAAATCCCCATGCCTACATAGAAAAGAACTAGCTGCCTAACTTGAAATGGGAAGACATTATTTGTGAGCATACCTGGGCAGCAGCAGCTAAGTTGGAAGGATAAGTACCTGCAAGGAATTACATGAAATATGACACATAAAATCATGTCCCTCAATTAATAATACAACAAGATTTGACAATTGAAACTTGAAGGCAACTCCACCTTGATTTATAAAATGTTGGGCAGATGCCAAATTTCCAAGACCGGACATTCCTTGCCTTTGTGATATATTACCCATAAAGGGGGGTCGCCCCATCACCCCCGCCATAGGTGCACCTGCAGAAAGAATGCCATTTCCTCTATCCATAACATTCTGCTCAAGGATTCTAGGACCCATAGGAGTTCCACGATTATATGCCTGCATAAAAAGGTGATCCTATTACTATTAATTACTTAGATATTAACAGATTAATCTAAGATGTGTGAATGACACCAAGACTTCCACAGATACCATTCCAGCGCCCACTCCTAGAACACTGGATCTAGCAACAGCTCCAACAAACTGATTTGCCATGAAAGGCATGTATCCATTTCCTCTTGAAGCAGCAGTCATACCTATTTAAATATATATATATATAAAGGTTACAGCACAACCATTACTGTTAATCTAACCCCAGAAACAAGCCGGTCATTAAAAGTGTACTATCAAGAGCAAAACCAATAGGATCACCAGTAAGAAAAGTAAAACTTATCAAACAGGATAAAGTAGACCACCTGGAATGGCTCCTCTACCCATACCACCAAATGCTTGAGCAGGACCTTGATTTCCAAGGCGTTGCTTGTATGACTTCAATCAATATGGATAACAGTGTTAAATCCTTGATGATAAACGGTACGAAGAAGGTAAAAAGTGAATACATGCATGGACTGAAACTACAGAGCAGATGCTCCACAAAGAAGGATAAAAAACAATGGAGGAGGCACAAATGCAAAGGGAAGTAGCAGCGAATGAGGGGGCACAAGTTGTGTTCAAACAGTAATACCTTAGAGAATCCTCAAATATAATGTAGTGATCATACCTGAGCTGACTTAGATGGATTTGCAAAGCTAACTCGTATATTGAGCCCTCCCAACTCATGACCATCCAATGCAATATGCGCTGGAAAGATTGAGTTTTTTTAGTAAGTGGAAATATTCAAGATTCCCAAATTAATTTTAAGTACAACCAAGAAAGACAAAAATTCCAGGTCCATGAACAGGGTACCCTTGTCAGCACAAGCAGAGTGAAAGAAGTCAATGAAGCCAAATCCACGGATATTCCCATTGATACCAATGGGTAAGAAACAGTCTTTAACTTTCCCATACTGTCCAAAGAGTGATCTCAAAGCTAATTCAGGCTGTCATACATCCATCAGAAAGGCAGTTAGCAAGGGAAAATAGACAGGAAAGTAAAATCCTATGGATCTATACATACATTAGGCATATGCTTTGATATGCGATCCACAAACAGCACAGTCGAGAACATATCCTCAATATTTTTGCAATCTGACCACTCAACACGTAAAACCCGCCCATCCATGTTCACCACGCCCATTGTTGTCTTTGCAGCAATTGCCTACAAAAAGCGACAAAACTAGTACCCAAGAAGAAGAAAATATGGCATACGCTTATTTTCAGGCTATATTGTTGGGCAAACCTGGGATTTCAGGCTATATTCAATAAATCCGTATCCTTTACTCTGACCTGCAGCATTGCGTAGAACCTGAAAAATTAAAAATATCCTTCAGCACAAACATGGTTAAATAATTTCCTTTTTCAAAGTAATTTTTAATTTACCTAGTAATTTAATAACCAAGATAGAGCAGCAGAACTTACAAATGCTCGTTCGACCTTTCCATGTGGTTCAAACATTGTCCTCAATGATGAGTCATCAATATCAGGGGTGAGATTTCCAACAAATAACAATGAGTCAGCACGAAATGCCTCAACAAGCAATGTCCGTACACCAAGTTGTGTATTATGGAGTTTTTCTTGGACAGTAGCAGCTAGCTGGTTATCTCCAGGTGCAGAATCAAATCGGACAACTGTGGCATCTCTTTTTTCGTTTTCAAATGCAATGCTTGAGACTTTTCCATGTTCAGTAAAAAGTGGTAACAACTCCTAATAAGAGTAACCCTCTAATTAGCAACATACCAATTAAGTGAGACTGAACTGATAATACCCTGAGGTCACCAATGAAATCATCAAAATAATAATTCAACCAGCAGCTTTGAATGTAGACAAATCAAGCTGATCTGGACCCAGTAATACAGCTGAGTTCAAAAAATATCAAGCACTATAAAAAGAGGAGTATCAGATATGATACCATTTTATGAGGAACAGCTTCACAAAAACTAAGCATATGCTATGCTTAATCAAGTTCAGGACATAGTAGCACCAGGAAATAACATGCAACAAAAACAGTGCCATAAAGAAAATGGATTGTTGTAATGAAGGTATGCATACATTGCCAAATTCCATGACAGATATTCCGCAAGCAAGATATAATATTATTTTCGTGCTGGAAGTGGTGTTTTTATACTACAGCTGGCATAATCATAAGTTGTTTCTTATTCTTCTTCTCATAAATCTCCCACTTTTATACAATTAAAGCTTTATCTAATTTAATAGCCAATGAAGGAAAAAATACAAAGCAAAAAGCCAAAAAAAACACCAAGGCAACAAAATAAAGGGCATAACCACACGACAAGGTTAAAATCAATAAAATGCATTTGTTAAGTTCCACAAATTTTCAGTTAGGCGATTATTTAAAAAATAAATAAAAAAATTGGCCTATCAAAAATGTACAAAGAAATAGCAAAAGGACTAAAGGCTTGGGAAGCTTTGTGACTTAAGGGGAGAAACGACACTTCGTGCAAACTCTTGGATATACCAATAACTCAGTTACACATCATAAAATTACAAAGCATTTTATAGTACAAAGTCCTAAAATCAACGCAACTTCCTACACATCAAGAATCTAGAAGGATTTCAGAAAGACCACCAAAGTAAAGATATTTGGGCATGGTTTTATTTTCTCTTGATAAACTAAAGCAGAACCAACTATAAAAAAAAATAAAAAAAATAAAAAAACAAAACAAAACAAAACAGAAAACAAAAAAACAAAAGCAAAAACAAAAAAAAATAAATAAATGAGCACTCGTTTAGATTTTTTCTTAGAGAATAAAAACATCACGCTTCTGCTCGCCCTTGACATATCCTAACATACCCTTGAGTTCTTACCTGAAAGAGCGACCAAGATGTAGAATCTTACACTCAGGCACCAACGTGCTTTCTGTGTGGTGGAAGAAGACAGCAAAATCAATTATCGGCATGCTTCTATCCAAGAGTAACAAACTGGCTGCATATCAGGAAAAAAACATGCTAGAGTGTACCATGGGTGTTAGTTCCAAGTCTCAACCAAGAAGAGAAGAAAAGATTCACCAAAAGACCCATATCCTTGATCGCCCATACCCGAACATCCAAAGGTCACCTAGCGCTTAAAGCCAATTTGCATTTGCCACCAACTTGTTGAATTAAAAATACTGTTTCCAAATTTGTTGGCAACAAGACAGCTTTTTGTAACCTTTTTTTTCCAAGTGTGGTTGACACAACTTTTGTGACTTACAAAATTTGTTTGTAACAAGACACCATTTCTATAATCTTATCAAATCGATTTGCAACAAGATGAATTTTTTATGATGACTTCAACATCATGTTATAACGCACAAAAGAGTTCATGCCATATTAGAAGTACGCAAATAGATAGTTTGTATATTCTATAAGTTGAATGACAAAACTTTATGTCAAACACTAAGTTTAAATGAATCCATACATAGCATGATATATCATATAACCCTATAATTAAATGTTGTTAGGTCACAAAAAAAGAAATGCATGCAATATATGCATTCCTCAAGTCAGTTTTTGCCTTACTAAATGAAAAAAAACCATATTCAGAAGTTATGATCATTATATTTGTATCTTTTTCAGTGATTGGATGGATTTATGTTGCAACTCCAGTTCCAACTCAGATATCTGAACCCTATATTTTTCAGTAGTACTAATCTTATTGACCATATGCATAGAAGATTACAATGGCGACTTACTGCATAAAAAATTAATATTGATGATCCATGTAACGCAGGTGCTACAAATCTTTGGGGATAAATGCAATAAGCATTCTACGATCATAGAATTTATAGGATATTTTATGTACATAAAACTAAAATTTCCAGCCAGTCCTTATATCATTTAAGGCATTTCTCCAATTCATTAAGAAGATTCCAGCAAGAAATGCTTTCCCATATTTTAAAACATAAGGATTACCCTTTCAACTTTTACAGGCATTTCCAATTGTTAAAATATAAATGCATTTTCCAATTGCAAAACTTAGGAATCTGTTAGTTGTTTCCTTTAATCCAGAACGCTTATATTTGATAGGAACTCAGGAATCAATTATATCTGTTTCTTTTCTTTTTTTTTAAATAGGAATCAGCTATTCCTTTCCTTAACATAAATGACATTTCCTTTCTATGATGAACCTTTCATTCTCCAAATTCCAACAAACTATGATTAGCTAAGAAAATTATAATACCATGAATTTGAACGGTTGGTCAAGTTGCACTTACAATGATATTATCCAACCTTCAGTAGACCATACAAAACTGCATGCTGCTGCCTTCCCATCCTCCATCCTGGTGCATGGCACATGGCAGTTCCATTCACACATGTCTTGATGTCTTTTACATCAGTTTGAAAATTTGAATATGAAGCTTTTCTTATTTCAGTCTCAATACAAGAACATGTTCACCCAAAACTCTCATTACAACTTTTTCCCAGAAAATATCATCAAGCTGTTTCATGCTTGTTACATCTGTATTTTAGAGGTGTATGTAAACAATGAGAAACAAACAACACAGACACCATCTTTTTGGTTTCTGATAATTAATTTCATCTTTAATAGCAGCAAAAACTCTGCTGACCCTTAAAGGAAGATCTATTGAAGTTATCCACTTATTCTCTTCTACTTGAGTAAAAGTTATGTTATGTGCCCATGGAAACCTATAACTTTCCACAACAAGAGGACTCTGACAGGATAAGGGAAAGGAAAGAAAACAAATAGAAGATACTGTAACATCTGTTTTTTCAAGTTTCAACAGAATATGAGCTCTGGAGCAGAAAATTAGAAAAAAAAAAAGTTACGTGTACAAATGAGCGAACAGAAAACAACTTCTTCCATTCTCAGTTTTCTTTCAATTCAAAAAATAAACAAATAAGAAAGCTTCCATGACATGTTGAATATCTACTATTGAATCAATATTTGAAACATCCATATTATTATAATTCAATACAATGCCTAGAACTTCTAACCAGAAGCCCGATATTTTTCCAGTAAGTATTGAGCAAGGCCAAATCCTTTTCAGTGGATGTATCAACTGAGAGAAAAATTGCATAGTGACCATGCTGGGCATTCCCTTAAATTTGTTTGGGTAGGCTGAAAATAGTTCATCTTTCATGAAATCCTCGAGATATACTACATCACACCTATATCTCAACATACACCTGGAGAATGCCATTCAAATGCAAATGCCCTTTCTTGGAGGAGACTTACGTTTGACTCCTTCAGCAAGGGGTGATCTTAGTTCTACCTCTAACCCTTCCATCCTTCCTACCTTCCATATATTTTAGAACCCATCCCCATATGTCTGCATTCTGCACCTTGTAGTGCAACTGTACATAAAGCTAGACTTCCACCTGATTCCTTATCAAAAAAAAAAGAAAGAAAGGAGTACAACAAAGATCCTAGAAATTGTATTAAATGCTAAAACATCTCAAGCTAGACTGGCATTCCAGGGGTGGAGGAAGTCGAACCTAAGGTGACTGGTGAAGAGAAGGAAATTATGCCAATAAGCATGGCCAGTTGTAAAGGGCTATGAGTTATAGAGAATTAGATGAATCACACTACTTCTAGTCAAATTAATTTAAACAATTAATGCAAATTTTCATCGCATCAGGAGGGAAGCAAAGACAGTTGCTGTGACAACCTTGAAAAAGTAAGGGGTCACTCATCCCTCATTTTTTAATCACCAACCACAATTTCCATTGTTCACAGACAAATTCATCCCAAACCATTTTGGCATCTCTTTCTCCTCTTTGAATTAAAAAAACCAGAACATTGACTTTCACAATCCAATTTACTGATCGACGAAATACTGTTAGCAATAAAAGAAGTTTCTCAATGTGGTAATCCATGATGGCTCCTGAACTCATGAGATGCTTGCTTTTTATACCATGTCACATAAGTTCCTTCTATTGGTATCTGGATAAAATAATTTCCGTAGTAAATAACACGTAGGTAAAACCTAAGTTCTCAAGACTTGGCAATTTTTACATCCTTTCCACCAAATAATATCAGACTGGTCTACGAAAGCCCATATTGCACAATGTGCTTCTTTGTATCTGTTTTTCAGGGTATACTATGTTACTGTGCTTCAAATGCATATAGAAAACAACTTGCAATTTATTATTTTCAAAGAAAAATCTCAAGGTGTCGAGGATGAGCATACCTCTTCAGTAGCAGACCCACCAGTAATGGTCACACGAACACAAGGCTTTGGGAGCCAATGGGAAAGAATCTCCACTGTTTTAACTTCAGGAAATTGCTCCTCCTCTTCAGTTCTTGCTCCATCTTCTTTGACAACACCTCTATTATCACTTTCTTCGTTCAAATTTTCATCAGTTTCTTTACCAATCTCCTTCTCGTCATCTCCCTTCTCTGGTGCTTCTTTAACACCAAGGCCCACATCATCCCCTTCACCATTTTCTTCATTAATATCCTTATCACCTTCATTTTCGATCTCTCTTTCATTGAGTCCATTCCCTATACCAAACGCCTTATCATTTTGCTTATCAACCCCCATACCCATACTGCCATCTTCCTTCCCAGGTTCCTTATTGTTAAAGGTATCCATCTCCTCGTTGATTTTGTTGCCATTTTCGATCTCTCTCTCAACTTCATTTGCCATGTTTTCGTGTTCCAAGCTATCATCTTCTGTCACTAAGCCATCCTTCTCATCAAGAACCTCATCAGGTAACTTAACATTTTCATCTCCATCCAAAGAATCCTTCACGGTAGAACCCTCCTCATTAAACCGAGATTCAACATCCAAACACTTGTTGCCCCCAATCAATCCACCAGTCATGGCTTCGTCTTCATCTACCTCAGACAAAACCCGAGAGTCCTCTCCATCGACCTTCTCGACTGGATCCAAATCGTTCATTAAGGAATCGCTCACTGTTTCAGGCAAGACTTCCCGGTTTTCTTCGCCGGAATGTCCATTGAGGTCATCAGAAATAGCATTTTCAGTCGATTTTTGGCCAGCCAAGTTTTGTTCGATAGCCGGAGGAGATCTTGTGTGGTCTGATTCCGCCATTCTGGGGCTCTACGGGATAGCGTTTTCTAGGGTTAGGGTTCGTGTTTTCGCAGGACAAAAGGACAGAGAGACAAAACCCTAGCGCGACGGAAACCGATACCAATACACTGATTCCTCAATAGTCGAGATAGGGAAAAAGTTTAGATAGGGGTGCATCTCAAAATTCCACTCCTACCTCCCGGACACGAGAAAAATGGATTTTAATTCTTGTACGCTGGACCGCGGTTCTACATATGTGGCCCAGAAAGTGTAAAACATCTATTTTAAATATAAATGCAAGTAGGTGTTTCATCATCTAAAACCGATCAAATGTTTTTTTATTAGAATTATTATTTCAAATTTTTAAAATTTATTTATTTGTTCATATTCATGATCTCCATGTTAAAAATTATATGTCCTTAAAATTAAGTTTTAAAATCCATCTCAAAAATAAATTTATCAAGGGGCCCACATTTCTACATATGTGGTCTTGCCGCATAAAAACCGGGTCCCTAAAATAGTTTAGTTTTAGTATAGTATTCATATTCAGATTTCAGGACGTAAGAATTTGGATCGATCAATTCAATTATTTCTAAATGTTTCACCGATTACCTATAGAAAAAGAAATAAAGGTCGACCACCCATACAAGAAGCGGCTAGAAGAGCCGAAGAAATTGTTAGAATTCTATGAAATAGTCAAGTAGCTTTTTCAAACTACTAATTGGTGTCCTTGCTCTTTGCTTCGTCTTTGTATTCGCTTTTTAAGCTCAAGCATTTACTTTTCTAGTTAGAAACCTTGGGGCTAATGTAGGATCTACTCAAAGACCCACCGGTTTAGGTAAATATCTAATACGTTCTCCAATTGGGGAGGTCATTTTTGGAGAGTACAAGCCTACTGAAAAATAGAAAGGGTTAGTAAGAAAACATTTGGACCGTTAGTTTCCATTGTTTTCAGATGGAATGCCTACCTGCATCCCTCTTTAATATGGATGCTTTACACTTTCTGGGCCGTATATGTAGAAATGCGGGCGAGCCCACGTGAAACAATTTTATTTTTTTGATTTTTAAGTGTTCACGTATCTATTTGATCTATTCCATTTTCGAAACTTTAAATATTATAATTAGATATGAAAATAAAATTTTAAGTCATCATGAAAATAATTTTTTAAATCATCACATTGGTACTGTAATAATATCTTTCAATACTATTTGAAGGTGCACCTTATCTTTTATAAAAATTTGAAATTTTGAAGGTGCGCCACAATTTTGAGGGATGAAAAAAGGGTTTTACAAAATTTTCATCCCTCAAAATTAGGGATATTAAACCATGCTTGAAAAATTTTCATCCCTCAAAATTAGTTTAATGCCATCTCCATGCTTAAAAAATATTTTTATTTTTCTACAAATATATGAATAGGAAACATGCGATGGATTATTTTTAATACATGATGACATCTTTTTTACAAAGGTTTACACTTCAAAACGTTTATTTCTACTTTTCTAAATTTTAATAATAATTTTTAATATTATCAAATTTCATGTCATTATTCATTTTCAATATTTTTGGATTCTAGTACAATAATTTAATTTCCTAGGATGTATAAGTGTGCTCAAACTATATTGTTGATTTTTTTTGTTTGAGTTTTTTATTTTTCGAATTGTTTAGACATTAATATTTTTGAAATAATCAAACTGACTTCAAATTTTGTGGGTATGTACCCCTCTTATTGGTGCACCTAAGAAAAATACGAAAAAATATTTCAAATGATAAAAATTACCAGTGTTACGAGACATGGACTTGTGGACTCGGCCAAGTTACTCGCCCTTGCCCATTGGGTGGCCGAATTTCTTCAATTTGGTATATAACTCGGGGCACATGGAATTTTTAAACTTCCCCCCAAAAAAAGGGATTGTTTTATAAATTTCTTATACATAATTTGGAATTTTTTATGTAAATAGTGGTGATTTTTTCCAAAGTCTCTAATTTTTATATTTCTTCTTTTGGATATTTTAAAATACCCCAACTATAAATCATGTTTTGTACATCTATATTTCTATTATTTTCTAGGCGTATTTGGACCTATTTTACTTTGTTTTTGGGTTTATTTAATTTTTAATACCTTTATTTTATTTTAATATTTTTTGGTTCTCTTTTTCTTTCAATACCTGGCCCAATGCGAATTTCTAAAATAAAAAATTACAAAAAATAACCACATATGTGTTAGGGATTGTATACGATAAGACTGTTCGATTTTAGTATAAGAAGGTCATAATCACACTTAGCCATAAGATGTAGAATGCAATAGCATAAAATATGTCTCATAGTTTGATAAATTTTATTCTGGATTCTGTGTCTAGCTAATAACACAATCCCAACCACTTAAAATTACATGTAATGGTCGATAATAATTATAACTTCCTTAAACCAAAAGTAAATATTCATGTTTCTTTCCTTTTATTTTTTATGTTTTGGGGGTATTTCATTTGTTTGAAGAGACTCTTTTGGGGCTTTTTAGGTGCTTGGCAGCTATTTGGCTCGTCAAATATAGATTTTTACTTTAACATACTAAGAGACATCCGTTCTCATTATAGACTCTGGAATTGAATGAGTATGAAAGAATCTCAAGTGGCAAAACACCGTGTTAAGAGAATTACTTGACCTCCAAATTCCCAAATCATTTTTATTCATATATAAGACTAACATTTGAAAGAAAGAGCTTAAAAATTTTTCAAAATAAATGCCCACTACAAAATTGACGCTACTGAAGATTTGATGGATAATTTGATCAAAGTTTTTAGTATCACATTGGACATTTTCACCTCTTGAAGGCCCTTGATTAGGCATTTAGAAGAAGTGTATAATGTGCTTCCATAAGAGCACCTCATAGGCATCTTACCCATCCTTTGTCCTAGGGGTGGCAATGGACCCGGACCCGGACCCGACCCAGGTCTAGGTATGTGTCCAAAAATTGGACCCAGCAGGTCAGGTTTGGGTTGGACCCGAACCCAGACCCAACTTGAATAGAGTCATTATTTAAATAATACTTAATAGTATTTAGATAATATTTAAATGAATATAATCATATATTTTAAGTTGTAATATTAAATAATACATTATGTATTTAACATAATATTTAAACATATTGAAATATAAATTTTTTCATTTTTAGGTTGGTCCTATCCGGTCCGGGTCTTAGGTCCAATAACTTTGCATCTGATTGGGTCTAGGTCCGGACGGACCCGAACCCGACCCGACCCTACCCGTTGCCACCCCTACTTTGGCCAAAAGCAAAAGGCCCACCGAGCTCGAGAGAGGAAATATAATAGCGGGATCCTCAAATTGATTCAAGCAGTACCTTCAAAATGTTCACCCACTTCTCCTTTTAATTAAAACTTAAGCTCTATATCTATAAATAATTAATTAATTGCCATACTCAATTGAAGCCCACTATTGATAATATCAATATGCGCATGCCGTAAACAATTAAAGGAAAATGGTTGATGGTCTAATGGAGCTAGACCAAAGCTTACCTTTCATTCTACAGCCAAAACAACTTGCTAGGGGAATTTGATTGACCTTCAAGACTTTCAAATCATCTTAATTCAACTCTAAGATTAGTTTTATTTTTTTTTTAACAAAAGTCAAGAAAATAATTTGAGCTCAAAAAATGTGCCAAATGAATTTGAGGATCAAATCTAGGGTCCTAAGACCTCATCGAAATACCCCCAAAAAAAAAGAAAGAAAGAAAGAATCGGGAAAAATAAAATACATTATCTTTAATATCCAATAAATTCATACTTTTTAAGAATTGTTGTTAATGGATTTTTCTTTATAATTAAAATTTCTGAATTATCTAAGAAAATCATTTTTGTGCTTTCATCTTTCCTAAATTTATTTATTGCATAACTTTTTTATTTCATTGAGAAAGTACAACTTTTAAATATATCTATCCTTGGTATCCTAAAAATCTCTAATTGATTTTTAATTTTTTAGTACAATTTTCAAGCACTTGAAAATAATTTTTTTACCCTGACCAAAGAGAGGAGAATTCATCTTTATAACTTATTTTTAAAAGTCTGGAAAATTTAATGATTTTATATGAGTTTTATTCTTTAAAATGGTTTTTAACTAACTTGTAGTTTATACTAAAAATTATGTCCATTCTATTTTCCATACCAGTATTTTGGGATTTATTTTTTAAGTATAATATTAGAATATATAATTGGTTTCTTGAAATTTTAATGCTTTTTTCACTCGTGACTCTTTTTGAAATTTTTTAGAGAGATTTTGAATATAAATATCCAAGTAACTTTATCATGAGTTTTTCATGGTTTAAATTTATTTAATTACTAAAATTTAAATTGTTTATGATGAGTATCCCAAATTTTTCGTATTTATGCCTTTTGATTTTCTCTTTATATACTTACTGGGGTACGGTTTGTATAGAGCCAAGGCTATAAACAATCAAAATAAAGTGTACATTCAAATAATGTCGCAAACTATGGTTTCAATACTGGAAATCTTTGTGATAGCCTTAAAGTATATTTCCATCTTTAATTCTAAAATTTAAAGCTTAAAAAATAGTGTAGATTGAGCAGATCTATGAAAACTTGAAAATTGATAGTCGAAAAATGCGTTACAAGATACACTAGTTCCAAAACTTGAAATCTATTTTTTTCTTATGTCCATGCATTTTGATGTCGAGATGATCAATTTGATGATATTTGGGCATCAAAATTACCTCTTCTAGGGAAATTTTTTACCAAACTTTGTTCATACTGGACGTCACGTAAACTACACCGGCTTCCATTTGATATATTCTTTTAAAATTTAATATTTTGTTACTTTTCATATATATACATCCAATGTATATAAATCGACTAGTTTTGTATGAATAGTGAATGCAAATCGGTTCGTTTTACAAGTCAAAGACATTAGTAATTGCAAATTTGCAATAGTTATAAACACGAAAAAATTTATACGCATTGGGGGATGCATTCCTACATTTAGCCCCTGGCATAAACCATCCATTTTAAAGATTAAAAAATCACTGTTTTTAACCCTTCGAATTTATTTATTTATATATATTAATGATCTCTATGTCAGATATTATATATTCCTAAAAAATTAGGGCCAAAACCCATTTCAATTAAGAGGGAACGCATTCCTACATATGAGTCTGGGGACAAACTCTGTCCTATAATCTCATAATGGATGTTTGAGATAGAACACGGAGTAGGAATTTTGCATTCTTATAGAACGAGAATAAGGGTTAATTCGTGACTCAAAGAATAGAGAAAAACTATCAAAAAATTTTAAAATGTACCACTCGATGCTTTATGAAGAATAGTTTGTGCTCTTGTTAAAAAAAAAAGAAGTAGAGATAAATTTTGAATCCATCTTAGGGATTTTTGGATCCAATCATATTAGGGGTTAACAGTCTATAACATGGTGAACATGAATACGAGACATAAATGTAAAAATAATTTTTATTGATGTATTTTCTGCACTCTTGATTTTTGGGTTCAGGTTGTATCACCACCTTTTTTTATTTTTGGTATCACCACCTTTTTTATTTTTGGATTCAGGTGGTATCACCACCTTTTTATATCCATATTTACGATGGATGTTAGATAAGTCAGGGGACAGGTGACATATATGTAGAGTTACATCCCCGGCACAAGTTCCAACATTAAAGAGAGTTGTAAGCAAGATGCACCTAAAAAATCTTATAAAAGAGAGTGATCCGGCATTAAAGAACCCTCTAATTGTTCATCTTGATCTCGAGATGGGTGGATATGGAGAAAAACAAGAATTTCAAATCCAAAAAATAGTGTATATTGTAAAAGTTACTTGGATGATCTAATTTCAACATGTTCAAGTATTTCTTGATTTGCTCAATTTTTACTATTTTAAATTTTATAACTAGTGATGAAAATAGATATTCAATAATGCATAAGGATTCTGGCACTGCACCCGAACCACACCTTATTTCTATAGTACAAGGAAGCAACCTTGTACAAAACCTTACGCAACATTAAAAAACCAAGCATTCAGCGATTGATTCATATAAAATATACCTGAGGTCTTTAAAGGATACTGATTTTTTACACGAATTTTAGAGTAACGCAAATGGAATTTAACGTATCCTATCAAAATTTGGCCAAACTCTTGTGGAAATTTTTGCTTTTATATATAGAATAATCCAAAAAAACATTATTGCCCATATAGAAAACCAATCACATTAACTTAAAATTCTCCATATAGAAAACCAATCACATTAATTGAAAATTCTACGATGAAGAACAAAAATTATTATAATTAAAAAAACCTTCTCTTTTCATAAGAAATTATACAAAATTAACCCACCCTAAAGCAATCTTTTACCAAACTAACCCACTCTAAACAAAACTAACGCAACCTAAAGCAATCTTTTACAAAAACTAACCCAAGCAATCTACTTCATTGCAAATAGAGTTGGTTTATAAAGAGAATAGGTTTTGCACCGATGACGGTGTCCTTCAACTGGCTCCAACTGTTTTTGATTTATATGATAAATAAATATATCTAAACTCACTCGATTTTGAAGGAATAGCTTGTCTTCATCATAAAAGAAAACCGGGTAAAACCAAGATTCCAAGTTATGATCATGCTGATTTATTAGTTCCTCCCACTCCCACCCTCTGTCTTCCTTCTTCAAAATCCAACCCACCAATTTCTGATCATCGGTTATTCCGATAAAACAAGCGCTGTCCCCGAATGCTATAAGTGAACATAAACATTCACGTGGCGGCAAGGAAATTTGAGACCAACATTCATTCTCCATATCAAAAACTATCAAACTATCGTCTTCTTCTGTTAGATAAGACTTTGAATTGAGAGATAGCATTCGAAGGCATGGATTTTTTCGTTCGAAACTTGGATGAAGTTTTATTATTCTCCAATTACCAATTCTTGAATCGAAGATATGATATTTGCCCATCTCAGTCCAGCCCTTTGATGTTTGAGCTAAAATCTTAAAATCACATGAACTTGGATCGAAATAAAACCCAAACAGATTGACATTGGGCAAGGATTCAGAGATGGTTGTGCATATGCTAGTGACCGGGTTTATTATGATGAATGTGTAGTCGAAGTATGTGTAGTCTAAGTCATTTGTTTGGCACAAGCAGCACAGCATGCCTTGAGAGCACTCTATACCCTCTAGATTGTCTATCTTAAACTTAGAGTAGCGTTGTACTACTTGAGAACCATTGTTGCATAAGAAGGTTAACCGGTTCATAAAATCGGGCATTCTAGAGAGACAGATGGAAAAATACTGGGAAGTATTACTGGGAGAAAGGTAGTGAATTCTTGCAAATAAGGAGAAAGTAGGAGTTCTTTCCATGTCTTGTTTAGGCATTTGAAATCCATTAAGAATTCTAAAGGAAAGTGCAAGAGGATTTCAATTACCAGATCATCCGGTAAGAGTGGAGATAGAGAAACTTCTTCTTGTATTGAAGTTTCATTGGCTTGAGAGAACCTTGAACGCATCCATGTCATGATGGATAAAATTTGAACAAGAAAACAATTGGATTTCATGGCCGAAAAAATTCGAGCAAGAGAACCTGTCAATTTCAAGAAAGAGAAAATTGGAGCAAGAGAAACCGTTGAGCCCATTGATTTCAGTACTCGAACAAGAGAACCTGTTTCAATTCAAGCAAATGAAAATATATAATTGATTTCAGTACTGAAGCAAGAGAACATGTTTCAATTCAAGCAAATAAAAATATATAATTGATTTCAGTACTGGAGCAAGAGAACCTGTTTCAATTCAAGCAAATGAATATATATAATTGATTTCAGTACTGGAGCAAGAGAACCTGTTTCAATTCAAGCAAATGAATATATATAATGGAATGCTAATCGTATTTCCTAATGTGTTTGCTTTTCAACTTCTAGAGGGGCTTTAGAGTTAACCTTATTCAAAGATACAAAAATTCATTTGGGCATTTCAAGATTCTTATTTTAAGTTTAGGAACAAAATTAGTTCTCAATCACCATATGATTTCGACAACATTAACATAATTATCATTGAGGATGAGGCTTAGATAGATAGCACGCAAGTATGCAATGTTAATTTCTTATATTGATTTTTAAAATATTTAAGAATGGACAAGTTGCCGCGAATGCAAATTTAAAATGTTAAAAATTCATATGTAAAAATAAATATAGCCATAGTTATAACTTTACATCATAAAAAATATAGTTTAAAAGCACAAAAGTTTTAAAAATTGGTGTTCCATTTATGTAGTCGAGAAAATAATTTATAAAAAAAATTCCTGCAGTTAAGAAAAATGAAAATTAGTTGTAATTAAA